AATAGGCTTCGCTATCGCTCAGCCAACAAATATCTGGGTGTAGAAATATCTCGTCTGTGGAACACGGCTACGAGGAAGCTGCAAGTGACCACGCGATTTCTCATACCGGCCCGCCGCCGCGCCGGCCGGGCGCGCAGTAGCCCTTTTGTTATTCGTGCTCTTCTTCTCTACCACTTCTCCGGAGTAGCTTATTTGGGCAATTTGAAACTACCTCACTTAGCTAGAGAAAGACGCCGTCGACGCGACCGACGTTATCGACGAAGTGAGATCGTCTTCCTCTCCCTGCACGTCGACATCATCCGCGTCTTCTTGAACATTTAACTTCAGGGCCTGGTACTCGAAAATGTGGTGGACCCTCAGATGTGCCCAAAGCCCCGTCGTGCAGCCCTTCCTGACGCCAACAGGCCGCCGGAGTACCAAATTCTTCGTATTATGGAAATACCGAAATATCGAAATACCGATATACCGAAATTCCCAAACCATCGGTATTTTTCGATATTTCGATAATATCGAAATATCGTTCCCGAATTGCAGGAACTTAAAATACCAAAGCATTGGTATAAACTAACTATGACCAGTATTCACTTATGTCTGAGAACTGTCCGGGATGTGCTTGGGCAACTTGTAACTGCATTTTATCTGACCTGTGTGACACTCGTGTATGGACCGTGACTGCGACCTAGCCGCTTCCGAGCCGAACTAGATTTGAGAAGAAACCTAGCGCACTGACTCGACGCAAATTAATCTCGAACACTTTTTTCCATGCGGGAGATCGAATCCTCGTTTGAAACGTGTTCTCTGGGCCTTCAACTAAAGATTGATACCTGGATTGACGCGAAATTATGCGAACATACCAAGTAATGTCAATTTGATTAAACCACAACATTCTCCCACCTCCTGAACAATGAATGTTCAATTCGGCCGCTTGGGCCGCCTAGGCCGCACTAGGACGAAGCGATGGTATTTTCTGGTAGAAAACGACAAACCTTTTCATCAAAATAATTAAAACCCATACATTTTCGCGAGGGAGCGTGTCTTATTGATACGCATTAAGGGCTGATCCGAAATAGGTTCAGTCGCTCTAACATGCTTGACATGTCTTGACTGGTTCCTTCTCCCATTATTCGGCCTCACTGGTTTCCTTACTCCTTACTGTTGAGCCCCTTGTGGGCGGGATGTTCTCCTTTCCTGCTAAAGGTGACAGTGAGAAAACAAAGACAAGTGTTAATAGAGACATGCAAATAGAAAATAAGGAAAAGAATGGTTGTATGGAGTACAGAATAAGAGAATTACAGTACCTCCTGAAGTAGAAGGGAGACATTCCCTCCAGTTGAATTTCTGCTTGAGTGGTTTTGAATTTGCAGAGTCACCGGCATCAGAAAATTCTGACGAAGAGCCCTTAACTTGTATCACTGGTTGTTTCCCGTCCCAAGCACCTAGTGACAAATTTAAGGAAAAGATGCCAATGACGACGGACCGAAGACACAGAGGATAGGGTCGAAATAACACTCGGACCTGTACTTATATTTTGTCAGTTTGCACAAAAAACACGGTACCTGCTTTGGAGGTGGAGGGGAGAGGTCCCCAGGAGATTGGCGCAGACTTCATCAGTGAATCTACTACAAGGTCATCGGTCTCTGCTGATGACGCACGACAGTTCACTAAAGTATTGCGAGGGCCTGTTAAAAAATGAAAATCTAGGGTGATAATGGTGCGACAGTTGGAAGGTATGAAGTGAGAAAAAAACCAACCAGACGACTAAAGGCAATTATTTTAAAGGTGAAATGGTGGTAAAATCGAACAAACAGGACTTAAATGACCTTACTTGGGCGGAAGGTAGCGAAAGACCGACAACGATTCAAGGGAGTAATCACTCCGTGAAAATGCGTACACCTCAACTTTTCACTTTTCCACTTTTATTCACTTTTTCATCGTTTTACAACGTTTACTTCATTTCTATGCCTATATCCCCTCTATTTTATTCATTTTCAGCCCGCCCTTCTTCTTTTAAAAAGGTATTCAGCGGGCTTATGCAAACGACCTCGTGTGTGTCTGTCTGTCTGT